TCATAGGATAGTAGCTTGTGCTCTCCCCATCCATCCCTCCTACGACCGACCAATTCAAAGAACCTGCAATTATATAGACTATAAGCATCCAGACTGGGACCTCTTGCGCTCACTGATCAAACTCTCAGACTGGGATGAATTCTTCTCATGTAATAGTCTGACAGATGCCATCAACATATTCTATTTGATTGTTAACTCTTGTCTAGACTCCTGTGCACCAATTAAGACTTACAGGATTAGTAAACATTACGAATTGTATATAGCAGCTAAATATCGTAATAAACTAAGACGCCTACAGAAACGTTATTTTAAATCTAACGACTTCACGGCAGTCACACAAATAACAATAATTTGTAACCAAATAAAAGAGGAACATAGGTTAAAAGCCATTAATGAAGAGCTATTAGCACTAAGCACTAGCTCAAAAGTGCAAAACCTAATCCACCTTTACAATAAACGTGCTAAATCAACTCAAAAGGTTGATATACCATGCATCCTGTATAATAATAGTTTTATATATGACCCAAAAACTATAGCAGACCTTCTCAGTGGTGATTTTGCAAACGGCAAAGAATCCATAAATGGCTCTGTTTCTAGAGTTATATGCATGACTGGTAACTCAATTAAATCTATCTTCTTCACATGTCTGAAAATTAGTAAGGTTATAAATAACCTCAAGGTTTTGAAAGGTCACGGAGCAGACGGGATTTCATCATTTCTCTACAAATATGGTGGTCCACATATTCCACATCTTCTCCTTAAGCTGTTTACTCTCTCTATGGAATCAGGCTCTTATCCTGACCGTTGGAAAACCGCGTACATCATACCACGTTACAAATCCGGAGATAAGACTGACATGAACAACTATCGGCCAATAAATATTACTCCAGTTATCTTTAGGATTATGGAAAAAATTATTAGTGACGAACTATCCAACTATTTATTGACTGAACAATTTATTGATGAGTCGCAACATGGATTTCTTAAAAATCGATCTTGTATGACATGTCATTTTGACTTCTTTAATTTAGTCTATTATCTTCGTAGCCAAGGATATCTAGTACTACTGCTATACCTGGACATTTCTAAGGCCTTCGACATGGTCAACCACCAACTTCTCATAGATAAACTCGCATCTTATGGGGTCCAAAACCTGTTACTAGCCTTGTTTGATTCCTTTCTCAGCAGTCGGCATCAAATAGTTAAAATCAACTCTTCATTGTCGAACTCAGTCCCTGCTAGAAGTGGGGTAATTCAGGGTTGTGTCTTAGGTCCTTTGCTCTTTTTAGTTTTCATTAATGATATTTGTGAGTGTTTTAGTGTGGGTAAGTCCCTTTTGTTTGCAGACGATCTTAATGTGGTGTACTCATTTTCGCCACATGAGCTGAGCAATATTCAAAATTGTATCAGCTCGGAGCTTAACAATGTAGCACAGTGGTACTCGAAATGACAACTGGAGCTTAATACAGCTAAATGTGGTTGGTTATGCTTCGGTGATACATCACTCAACCTCGATCTTACCATAAATGGTGAAATGTTATCTAGGTTACACTCAGCAGTAGATCTAGGACTTAGGTACTCCGACGACTTGTCGTTTACTGAACAGATAATGAAACAAACGTCCAAGTCTCAACGCCTTATAGGTTACATAACTCGAAACCTTCATAACAGCGAATCTCGTACAAAGTCTGTGTTTGACCAGTCCTCGAATACTGCGCGTTTCTGTTTAGTAGCACGCGCATGAAGAATAAATTAAAACTGGAATCAGTACAGAGACGATTTACACTTCGTACTCTTGGAACTGATAGTGTCTTGACATATAATTCTAGGCGTAGTAAACTAGGGCTTGACCCTTTATGGAAGAGGAGACTCAAACTTAACCTTATCTTCTTTTTCAAAATACTTAACAAACTCTCCTTCACATTCAGTCAGGCGATTCAATATGCTAAAGCCTCACATTACGACATTCGTAACTCCTTGTCTTTAGCCAAACAAACATATTCTAGATCTTCTCTCTACATGAATTACTTTGCCTGTAAGTTTTCTAGGCTCTGGAATAATTTACCTCAAACTACCCGTATGTTAAACTCTCTCCCATTGTTTGTTCGCTCAATTAATGCCTTTTGCTCCTCTGAAAATGCATTAAATGCTCTAGCACCTGCAAGTGTATCCTACTCCACAAGTGAGATTATCGGAACTTTAAATGTTTAACCTCTTACTTGCTATCATTGTTTTGTTGTTCCATGCTCTTTGCTTTAATCTTACTTTCTCTAGTTGTAGATAATTATCAATAACTCGCTTTGGCACTAGAAATAACCTTACAGAACATCAGGCTATCCACTTTAGAAAAAATGACAAGTTCCCTGGTGTTGCATTGGCCTGCCATATATAAACTATTCATCAATTAGTAAACCAGCAAACATATACATATTTCTTATATTTCATGTTTGCTCTCTACATTAAATGTTGATTTTTATAACAATCTGATCATGCCTTTAAACTGGTGTGAATTCTGCAAATATTATTTTCAGAATATATTATTATTATTCAGATCACCACCTGGTTGTGGCCAAAATGAGACTGAAGCTACAGAAATTTTCGACAACTAGACAAACGGCATTACAGAGGTTCAATGAAGCCTTCCTTCGAGATACTGACGAACTCAATGAATTCAAAATAATTCTCATTAACAGGTTTCAAGCTTTACAGGATCTACAGAAAGAAGGAACGACAATGGAGAAAAACTGGGAAAAGATCAAAGAAGCATTAAATTCGTAATGCTAAACATCTATGGGAAGACTCAAAAAACCAGTAAAAAGTGAATTTAGGCTTTACCTCATTGTACAATCAGGCTGCTATCTGAATCTAGTAGCTAAATGGATAACGCGATGGTGTTTAGAGCGAACGACACTAGATGTGAGTCTCGGAAGAAACATCAACTTTGGGGTGGAGGTACATCCAGCTGAAGAGACCTAGGTAGAACGAAACGTGCTCCCTGGATTCCGCTGCTAACCACCGTCAATCTTGGTCTTTCTAATAGTTACTTTATAACAACAATAAATTTTTCAAACACTTCCGTTGTATAGACACTTAGCAACATCACAGTTCTAAAACTCAAATGATAAATTTCAGCCAAATGTGTATTTGCGAAGGTCGTAACCTGGACTAAGTGACGTCTTGAAAAGATCGGAAAAGCTGTGAACTCATGGTACGTCTGTGTCACATGAACCTAATTTTCAACTCGCCGATATATCTGCACAGATACCCTACCCTTCATTTTCATTGATTTTGTTCATTTAATAAACTACGTGAGCAGTATCTTATCTGTGAACACATATTATGAGTTATTTATCATGTATGTAAAAATAGAGTATACCTTCTATTTTAGGAATATATTGTTGTAACAATTAAGTATAAAATGAATATATGTTATCCAAAGTGATAAAGACAAATACCTTGTACTGAAACTGTGTCTGTTTTAAACATCATAACAAAACTATTGTGGTAAGAAATGTTCAAAAGTATGAGAACTGCAGTACCCTGATAGAACTCTGAGTGTTGTAGCTGAGACTTCTATCTTATCTTCGGAGCATGATGAAGTACAGTTGAATAAATAGATGTGTTCTGTTGACCTTGTTGTTTCAGAATGTCATTATAAATAGTCACAGTAGTGGACACTCAGTAATATTTAATAACAGCTTACCTACTTTCATCTTGAATACATCCAAAGGGGGAGTTGTAGCTAGATTGTTTTCGGCGTTAACAGCTTGGCGCACAAATCACTTAACCTGTGATTGTTTGGCGCATACAATTCTGAGTTTGTTGTCCTTAAATCCAAGAAACCGAAAGTTAAAGGACTCAATAATGATCATCCGAAACTGTAGCCGTAAACATGCAGGTCGTCTAAATTAGATTAAGTCAACATTAAACCTAGGTCGTTTGAAGATAAGCTGGTAGTCTTGGTGACTGTTCGGCTGGTACACTTATCCACGGAGAAATAACCACCGTCAAAGCCACCTACAGTATTCCATAGCTGAGTTAGAACACAGTTCAGTGCTCCACAAAAGGCTGTTGATACCACAAGTTACTAAATTTTTCTGATGACGTCGAGTGACTCCAGGTCAACACAAAACATGACTTTTTAACAGGATTGTCAGCTTCGCTTCTCTGAATATAACCTTCGAAGTAGCTTGAACATATCTATAGTCTGAAACCACCGAAAAACTAAACGAGTTACTTGATAATTTTATTTCAGTATTTCGACGCACATAAGTAGATTTCTTAGAGAATAGTACAAGTTTCTTCACTAACCTGCATGACACCTCTACTACTCAACTTCAAAAAACTAGAAGTCGAGTGTCGCTCAGTCCAGGCTGCAGCTCAGTCTAGTGTTACGGATCGGCGATAGTCATGATATCAAAATGATATGACATTATGAAGAACTAACGCTCAGGACGGTGGATTTACTCTTTGATATTTAGAAAACAGAAGTTTACAACACAGTCAACTCATCACATTCCTTTATGGTGGAAAACGACGAGGAGTTTAATCCAGCCAACATAAACTTGAAAAAAAGATGCAAATTTAGTTGAAAGGGTCAAAATTATATCACTGTGCAAAGTGACAACTCTGAAGAAACCGCAAACTCCACGTAGCAGAACTCAGAGTGAGACACGGCATTCATATAAGTTATCAATGCCTCCGTAAATGGCGCATACCCGACGTTAGTGCACGAATTTGATCACTTGCCGACATGAATGGTGGAAAAGTATGGTCACTCCACTGTAACATTAGAGACATGATAGGATAGAAACTATTCTTGATTCAAAATTATTGATCGATCAGTTGGTTTGGATCAATACATTTAATTGGGCAGTGTCAACTAGTCACAATATGACTGAGCTAAAAATGCACTCCAATGGTATTTCTAGCCAACTGGTCGAACTGCTCATTAGATTCCACTTTGACTCTAGTGTCCTCTTTTGTTTAAAATGGTTAGTCTGTAGGTCATTGTGTTAACAAACTTTAGCAACTGAGACGCGCCCAGGCAGAAATGGGAATAATCAAAATAGTTTTTCAGGCTGAATTCTCTTGAAACTGCACTCAAGAAAATTTTAAGCTCTTAAACCATTGGCAAAAACAGTAATGGGGGATTATCTTCCGCCCAATCCCTTGACAAAAGACAAAGGTTAACAAACAAATAATTAATGTTACATATATAATTCTAGGTGGTATATGGGCTCGAGGGGACAAAAATGGTACAATAGCTTCAGTTTTTGATCAGCATCCCTCGTTTTGCGGTCTTTCTTCAAGTTTAGATACACCCAACATAACTCTAACGAGCGAACTACTTGTGAGGTCTCTTTTTATGATCTGTTTATTATATCAGTTGAATCGTGGGTTATTTAAAGATCCACAATGTATTTGCGAAGTTGATGTGTCTTGTTTGGGGTTGGAGGACCTGGAGCCTGACCTACACCTAAAATTCACCTCCCTGAGAAAACTAGTTGCTGCTGATAACGCTCTTTCTTTAGGTACTTCTGGTATTATTATATGACCTTCTGTAGAATGTTTTAAGAATTTTAATGAGTTGGTGGAACTGGATCTTTCGCTGAACCAAATTAATTCACTATCGCGTTATTCGCATGAATTTGACAGTTTACATGTAAGCTTATGGATGTTTTATTATCGTCGGTGAACTTAACAAATGTCTATCTTTGTCCACAACTTCAGTTGAGTACACTTTCGGCAGTAACTGAAAGTCATATATATATATTTGAACCAGGATAATACGAAACATTACTCTTTAGACGGGTTATGAGAGCTATAGATTGATAATTACTTTTAAAAAATCTAGGTACACCTTAGAATTCTAATTAACATGCTTCTAAAAGTGTGGGATGTTGACTTCAAATATACTACAAAGTTCGCTTTCTCCATGTTTATGACTACTGTTCATTTTTGTGCATGCCGAATTCCAGCAGTTGAAACAGAACTCTTAGAACATCTTAATTTAAGACTGATCTTTGTGTTGAATACGGTGAACTAATAATTGGTTTAGAACTAATATGAAGAAAAATTAATAAACGCTCCTTAATGAGTTTCATCAACCTCATAGGGCAAACTTGTCCCATACCATTTATAAATGGCAATGTGTAGGTCAGAAAATTTTATCAAACATTTGTTTTGTTCATACCCAATCAATGTTCTTGTTTTACAAACATTTATCTCTGTCAGTGTTTTTCGTATAAGTTGTGATTTGCTTTGCTATGATTCGCTCATTTTGAGTGTACTACCGTGAGCACTGGAATAAGTTTTTGTTATTGTCAAAATTGAGTTAGACTTGTACGTATTCTTGTTGTGAGCTACCAAACCTTTATTTTGAGGAGAAACTGGGGATAACTAATGTCTAAGATACGCTTTCAATCAAGTAGGTGTGCAAACGTTTAACTGCAATTTACGTCAAAAGAAAGCAAATTAAAAATTTATTCCAGTGACGTCAGTATAACTTTGAAAAAGGAAGTATTGTTTTCAGTAAAACCCATAATCTACTTGTTTTATTCAATTCAGTTGGTAACGATCTAAGAGAATACATGTCATAATTTTAGTAGATCTTCAAGTTAGTATTTACGCATATACATTCAAAATCTAGCTTAGGGTGAAAAAAGTATCGCTTACTATTGAAGATTTAAAAGAGAAAAGTATGTTTTTTTAATTAAAATCTTTTGCGTACCATGAAAACGTCCAAAACATTTTTCTAAAGCCCACTTTTAAAGTTAAATTAATCCCGATAATAAAACGGGGCCTGAAAAAAAAAGTTTAACACTTAGCAGCCAATACGACATAGAACTTACACCACCTCGTTGATTCAGCGAGCAATTTAATGTTTCTGTATAAACTTTGAGCCGTTTAAATTTTTCACCGTGCACTATGACTTGTAATTCAAATAAACCATAGACCTCATGTTACACAAAAAACTGAAATCAAGCAACTTAATCCTAATTAAGTAAGGTTCTAGCCTGTACGCATTAGATATCGGTTGAAATGAAAGACTCATCTTACAAAACGATATCCTTTAGTGAATTCCATCATTGTCAACAGACTATGAGATTTTAAGACCAAAGGTAAGATTATATTGACCGATCGGTCAATGGAATTATTTTTATTAAGATGTTTAAGCAATCTTTTAAGCAGAAATGGAACATTGTTGACAAATGCAATATAATGAATAGACCGAAGCAAGATGTTGGTTTGTTCTCTGAGCTGGGTGGTTTGGTCGTGGAGCTTTCATCGTCCTTCTGAACGACATCATCAGCACAAACTTCGGGTAGAAGTGAAGTGTTTGAATTTCTCCACATGTGATTCACAGCTTGTCCTCTGCACCTCGATGTTGATTGGTTCTTATTGACCTTAAATCTGTCATTGTTTATTTCTTTGTTTTGGTTGTATCTCCTATTGGTTTGATTTTTGTTCCTATCTTCTTGCATAATTTTCTTGATTGGTTGATAGATTGGATTGATTTCAATATGTTTGTTTATTGCTGATTGACCTGAGTGCCAAGCTTCTAAAAATTCTCTGGTATTTTTGGAATTACCTCTGTCCAAAATCTGCACGTTTTCCCAGTCATGTAGGCGAAGGTGCGTAGGTGCACCTTCGCCTACATGAACACCAATTAGCAGTCAAACGTCACGACATTTCTTCACTCATATCAATACACGTGGACAACTACGGACATACATTCGACTGGGAAAACGTGCAGATTTTGGACAGAGGTAATTCCGAAAATACCAGAGAATTTTTAGAAGCTTGGCACTCAGGTCAATCAGCAATAAACAAACATATTGAAATCAATCCAATCTATCAACCAATCAAGAAAATTATGCAAGAAGATAGGAACAAAAATCAAACCAATAGGAGATACAACCAAAACAAAGAAATAAACAATGACAGATTTAAGGTCAATAAGAACCAATCAACATCGAGGTGCAGAGGACAAGCTGTGAATCACATGTGGAGAAATTCAAACACTTCACTTCTACCCGAAGTTTGTGCTGATGATGTCGTTCAGAAGGACGATGAAAGCTCCACGACCAAACCACCCAGCTCAGAGAACAAACCAACATCAAAATCACCCACCTGAGCTACAAATCTTCTCTACCGAAGCAAGAATTCATTCCTTGAAGATATTTGCTAGGTGATGGTCTAATTTATATAGAACTTTGTAATATTTTATAGTCGAGTGCTAAGAAATGTAAAACTGGATGCTCGAAAATTATAAAGGTGATAGGATTAAAAGTATATTCCAGTAATGAAGTTACACTTAACTTTTATTTTCTTTTAAATAATAAACATATTATAACACTAAATCCAGTTTTTCATTTTCAACATTGACTCCTTCAACATCTACCGATTTCTGTTAAATTTGCTTTTTTATGACACCATAAACTGTAACAAGTTGGTTCACTTAACTTGTGTTCAAGATCAGAGGATGGTATGTTCCTATTTTTAGTAGATGAAAAAGACGAAATTTGGTATTTTACTATTCGTAAATGTAAACAATTTCAATAAAAAACATTTTTGTTTTAGTATCTGAATTTATCATATAATTTTCTCCAATCTGCGGATATTGAAAAACTCGGTTATTTGCCATCTTTACGTATTTTGTATTTAAGTGGAAACGATCTTCGTAAATTACCACCGGACTTGTCAGAAACAGGTTTAACCTCGGATGAGTAAGTCTTAAATAGTTAATTTAGTATGTGAGGATGTTTAATCGGTTTGCCAAAGTATAAGTTCTTAAATAAAAGGGACGAAATGGATGAAGGTAGTTTGATACATAATAAACTGCTAAACTTTTAAAATCAAGTATGCTACAAAAGGCTACCGAACTGAATGATTTTAAAATTAACATGGATATATATATATATAATTAAGTGAATATGATCTGAAAGTTGGAAATATGCATAAGAGGTGAAAGACTTGATAATTACATTTTTTGTGCAGCTTATGATGAAAACCCATAATTGGGATATATTTTTGACGACGACTGGTAGTAGAATTAAGTATATAGTTTTCGTCTTTTTTGAGACTCACTAACTGGATGTGCCGGTGTACAAATATTGACGCTCCCACTGAGACTTAAACTCACTACCGATTACTATGGTGACTACGCAGTTTGGGGGATAGTAAGCCGATATCTGAGATCCAGCGAGAATATTAACTTTCATTCAAGAAGTTCAAAGTATGGAGTGGTTTGCGTCTCTTAGGAAGCTATTTATCCTGTAATTTTAGGTTATATCTAGTTCAAACTGCTTGAAATAAAATAATTGGGTCCAGCTTCTGTTGAAACCAAATATCAAGCCGAGTACATCTAGAGACTAGCTACTTAATTACCGGAAAATGTCAATAATCAGTTTCTGCGTTTGAATAATGCCATAAAAACGGAAAATCAAGTTGATTACGGTTTAGTGAAAAGCACCCCATCTAGAGACCAGGTCTCTCCAGGGTACATACAACTCTTAAAGGTAAATATCTGGGTTCGATTATGATTGTATACGAACGATTTTTGGCATTCAGTGGCAAGACCACGTTAGTAATTTAGAATTTCGGCAATGCTTGCTCAGGCCTTGTGATTATAATTCAATTAATTTCACTATCTTGAAGCTCCGGCTCCTGTGGTTTATACGTGTTTTGCAAATATCATCCCATAAGCTTCCATACTATCTCTTAATTGTCAACGCTGGTACTAAGTGAGAAAAGCGGAGTTGTCAGTTGGTTGTATGGCGCAGTGTTATCCAAGGGCTTTCGAGTAAGTAATCTATCTACTCTTTACAAGCTCTGATTGATTCCCAAGAGATTATTTGACTCTTATCAAACATGACTACGAATAAAAGCTAGTAGCAATCCTGTTATAGTTTTCCTTTACAGTCTACATCAAAGTTTTATTCTTGTTTTTTTATTATCATCAACCCAATGATATATATATATATATATATATATATATATTCATAGATCACTTCTTACTTGACATTGTTTCTTTTTACAAACATTTTTTAGACATATTGTGTTCAAATTTGCAAAATTAGAAATTCTCCATTTGGATGATAATAAGCTTTCAGATGCACAAGATTTTGCCAGTTTAGGCACTCTCCCAAGGTATGTGTGCTCCTGTGAAATTATTTCTGTTTTTACATAATTCATAATACAAAATGATCTATATGGTAATTTTGAAGGTAAGTTATTGAACTCTTATCGCAGCATTTTGACAACCACATTGGTATTCAGTGATTTACATGTCTAAATTTAATCGATTCATGATACTGAGCAACAATTTCCCAATGCAACTGGTGGATGATTGCCTCACACTCTATTTAGTTGGTTGATAAACTAATGTTTTATTTAAAAATACTCGTTTGATAAAAAAATAAAAACTTATTGGTTTTCAATTTTTTAAAGTTAAAGTCAGTTTGTTATGTAAACTGTTGTCAAGTTGATTAAGTTTTACAGTTTAAAACACTGCAGAAAGTCTCAAGAATGTCAGAAATGAATTACAAAACGAAATTGTGGAAACGGACTACATTTAGATGCCATGTAAAACCCGGCGCAAATGTGCATCGGCTAAAATATCTACTTCACAAAGTAGATGGTTATAACTCCGACAAAATAGATCACAATGGTCGAAGGTCTTTAAGGCAGAGAATAATAAGGTAAAAATAGGCATTTTAATTTGACACTCCTGGTTAGAGTACGACCCAGTATGAACGTGTATCGTTATAAGTTGCGAAAATTCATGTCAGCAAAATAGTAGGAGAAATTTCCAAATCAAGAAGAGGGGAGATCAGAACAAAGCTAAGCACATAAAAAAGCAAAGCGTAAGGAGAAAACTTCAAGAGAAGTGAGTGCAATTGAATAATGATAATTATGAGGTGCCAAAAAATTAAGTTTTACTGAAGACAAATAGTGAATACATTTACAATCTATTTTGCGGTGTATTGCTCAACATATCAAACTCTTGATTACAGTTAGCTGGTAAATTTTAGTCTCGAAGTTTTTACTTCCTGGAACTACTAAAAGTAACGTTCAGTTTGGTTTTATATATTGACTACTTGTATCAAGTAGGGGTCCTGTATGAGATAAGTTTACAATGTTATGTTGCCTGAGGTAGTCAATAGGAAACCATGGACATATGTTGTATGCTATTCGATATTTCTCAGAAAGATATACTATTAACTTAGAGGAACCTGATACTATCTCAAGGGTTAGAACCCATATCACAGGTTCATAGTCTGAAATGTAGAAATACTCGACCCATCTGGAATAGTTAGGTGGCAAAGTCTCAGGCTTTGAAGCTGCATGACACGGTTTTGAATCACACACAAAGCACTAATCATATCAAAATTGAAGGTGTGTCTGTCTGACGAGTGCCAACTACCACGAAACCTAGGTTCAAGTCTTTCTATGGACCACCTAAAACTACCTAACATCAGAGTGTAGAGTTACTTAGACTAATAGCCACTTTTTGACTTCACTAATTGAATTCGGTCAACATTAGTAACCAGATAAACATTATATTAGCTACCACTCGATGATATATAAATGTATTTTTAACTTGTGATGCAACATTTCTCAATCTTTCAAAATATATTCTTTTATCATTTTTACAGGTTGACATATTTAAATTTGGCAAATAACAGATTTACTACTGTACCATTATTAAAGTCAACACTATTAAAAAAACGTCAGATTAATGAAACTCAGAATAATTCTACAATCAAAAATACACCGTTTTTAAAATCTACCAGTCTAAATGAAACTACTCAACAGGATAGCTTATTGATTAGTTATAATGAGCAGTCTGAAGATAATGAGTAAGTCAGTGAGTTTTATGTGATAGTACATAGTATCAACCTAAAAGTTAGTTACTTAGATTGAAAGTAGATAAAGAAGGATCATTTATGAAATATTTAACATGTACTTCATCGATAACATGGGATTTTATGTACCATGCCACCATTTATTCTGAAAATCTTTTCGAACTAGTACAGAAGTATGTTTGAAAAGGACTAGCAGTGGATGTACCAAGTTAAGATGTTATTGTATAAATTTATTTAATATTGATTTGAACAGTACGGCATTGTCCAAACTTCTCGGTTGTCATCCACCATATAACCATATTCAGTGATTGAAGACATGAGACGACTCAGAGGAAATTGAAACAGCTTTCTTCATTACTTTTGCAATAAATTTTACTTACTCACCATTATTAAAATCGATATTTATATCTTCATTCCTCGCAATCTTGTTAATTTGTTCCAGTTTAACTCGCATATCCTAAGGGAACTTTTTTAGATAAACACTTTCAGTAGGTTCCATGATGCTTATAACTAGATAATTGGCAACATTAATGTTAAGGATTTGAGGAAATTGTCGAGTTTCATAGTTCACATTGAGAAGTGACAACCAAGAAAAACTAGATAACGGTTTTATTCTACAGTGGGAACTCTCATCAGTGAGCACCCAACTCAATTGTCTGAAGTCTAAGCACTCAGAGATGGTTTAGTCAAATCAATTAGTGGTTCAAACTATGAAAATAAAATGTACAATTCAAGTTTGCAGTCGATTATTTTATTAGCTGTTTGGTTTTCTTAAAATAAAACTCACAGTTGGTGTTATTCCTTCAAAGATTACAAGTATCCCCACTTGGTGAGTTTCAACTAGCAAGAAGGTTTAATTCAGACCATCCCTGAAATAATCTTCAAACTTCTAACAGTAAAACAAAATTCACTACATGGTAGGCAAAGATGGATAGTGGCTAGCAGTAGAATCCAGGACGCGCGTTTCGTCCTATTTGGGACTCGTCAGCTGGATGTACCTGCATCTCAGAGTTGATGTGAATTAAGGCTATATCGAGGCAATACTCACAGTATGCACATATGCCAATTAGAGACTGACCAGTTGCAATCTTAACACATCGATGGGAAGATTCAAACAAACAATACTAAGTGAATTTAAAATTCGCTACAGTATAAAGCATTTTAGACTAATAACGACATTTAAACTTGATCGATAGAATTTTATCAGGAATGGAAGACCAGGCATTCATCAAGTTGGTTACTATTCAGTGATTGACAAGTGTAAATATATCTGTCATGCACGAATTTGTTCACATTTGGTTCAACTCACTGACAACGTCCCTTTGATTATGTAATAATGAGTGAGGTGAGTTGGAATATCTCAACGTAAATCAGTACTTTGAGGACTTTGAAATTCTAGACTATTGGATTGAACTTCCACTCAATGATATATCTTACTAAGTAAGAAATCTGAAAGTCTTGGATTACGGTTCGTGTGGCGTTATGAGTGTATGTGCTTACTGCTGAAGATCAGCGTAATCTAATGATACTACTATATAGCGTCCCTTGCTTTCTACTGATTCCTCTATAAGTATCGGCTAGTAATGAAAGAAAACTTAAATATAACTTAACCAGAACGAGAGCTGGCAAAAGAAAATTGTAGGTATGAATTACTGGTGAGTGCCAACGAGTGTGAATTCTTGGTCGACTAGGGCTTCCTGCTGACTACCTAGCGACCACATTGTAACCTGATGTATATAGTTCAACGACCATCAAGGGTTAGACAAACGTGGAAATCACTATCACTCGGAGGCTAACCATTTGTGAATGTCTCAGTCTTACGGGAGGTCAATCGCTGTTCATTTAGACCATGGTCGTTGGTGGGGTGGATTCGAATCTCAGAGGCAGTATCTATTCTCTCAAGATTGCAGGTACGCTTTGTTGACGAGTGCTAACTATCACGAAACCAAGTTTCAGGGTTCCCTTCTCAATACTTTCAGCCATCTAACAGACAGGTAGATAAATTCAACACCGTGGTCGAAATTCGCAGAACTTTTAAAATTTATTTTAAGCTATTTATTGAATGTAAATGTTATGTTTGCAACCAGTGTATTTACTGCTTTTGTGTATATTATCAATCTACTTTAATCATTTTCAAGTAGTATATTCTTATAATACAAACTTTTTATGAAGTACAATGATTTCTACCTTTATCATTTTCATTATTGTTTGTTAATTGTAATTTTTGAGGAGTTTAGTGATAAATGGAAGATGCATGAAGACTTCATATCATCATAAATGGAATTCTTATAATTCATCTGATTCCAACAAAAAACAATTAACAAACAATTTGTGTAAGATAGTGAATAAACAGTCTTTGGAAAAACCAAATAATTTGTCTTCTCTTACAGGAAAGGGGTCTCGGGAACAACAACGAAATATAACAAGTACTGATATTTTAATACTCTTCCAATTTGTTTTATAAGTTGTCTAACTGCATTCCATTGTTTGAATTCATGATATGTATAAATAATTCATTGATACTTTTTATGGAAGTAAATATGCTCTGAGTTAAGTATGATAAAATTCTGCTGAATGTTCAGTTAAGGTTTAGATAAGTAGACTTCTTTATGTCAACTTAGATATCATTACCAGCAAATATAAGAATATACTTGCTTTTATCATCTATAAACTACAAATACTCTTTATTGTCTTAATATACTACATTACTTGCGTTTAGTCACAAATGACTTTTGTCTACACTACATAAATACATATCTATATTAGACATGAAGAGGGAAGCTTGATGAGCATATATTATTAGTCATGTTACTTGACTAATCGAGTTAATAATGGCGGCAATGACTATTATGTATACGTAGCCTAACGACAAAATGTTACTAAAATTTAACATCAAATAACAGTTTAATTTTGGTGTTTTCCCCCATTCGCTTTAGACTTTTATTATAACTTGTTAATAATAAACACTTATTCTTTAAGTTGTAAATATATACCAATTTTTTATCCATTCTTCTTTTCAGACTATTCCCTATCACTAGATGAGCATAGAAATCCAAATGCTCCACGTGTACGCATAGTAGACGAATTTCTTGGTTTATATAATTTAAACAAATTATTTCCTTTAATTTATGAGAAACAAACAAAATATAATCATCAAAGTGGTTGTGGGTCTATTCAATCAGGTCCTGACATTCATGTGCACAAATCAAATTCACGTTTACTATTAACAGCTAATGAAAAATCTACCCTTGATCAGACTTTTACAACAGATGAATTGGTCTTATTGGACAATGAACAAAAATCTGATATTCAATCGAAAACTGTACCACCACCATTTCAATCTCTTCAGTCTATTGATTTGTCTCATAATAAGGTAAGTTACAATACTGCTCTAATTAAACTTTAATCGGACAGGATATATCGGAAGAAAATAACCCTGGGTTATTAATCCGGTGAACTATAATTTTCGATCATTCACTTACTGCTAGTGAAATTCCAGTTGGTAAACTATTTTAACTTCTCTGGTTAGACCATAGAACTGTGTAATGAAATTGTGATGGACAAACTGAATAGTTTATATCACTGAGTAAGCTAGACAATAATTGAAAGGCATGAAACACTGGATAGCTAGTTGTATGATCATGATATGGGATTCCTCGGGAGTGCGCATATGCACTCTTAGCAGGGGTCGGACCCAGGACCTGCAGATCTCACGAAGAGTGCTTAACTTTTAGATCATTTAGTTGACATTTAATGATTGAAGTTTCTAACCCTAATCAATGTGCAACATCGCCTATCCATCCCCTAATATCATTGGGGAATGACTCTTTTCATTGGACACCAATCCAATGGTATCAATGTTAGGTGCACTTTGCGATACCTAAAGGTCATGCGTTCAACCCCTAGCAAGATCATGTATGTACACTCTTGAGGAGGGAACAGCTAGCTATCCAGTGCTTCTTGGTTTTTAGTCATTGTCTAACTAAGATCAGTTGGTGATATAAATGATAGAAACAAAGTAGTTTGTTGTCAATTGCATATCTAAAAAATAAGAGTGAACTGGTGACAACAATAACTAGTCTATTGATAAAACATTCTTCACTTTGAATCTACAGCTCAAAAATTAATTTATTTAAATCAATAAAGTATATTATAATAATGAAAAATCTTAATTATTTCATAATCCTCAAAAAATATTTTATAGATATCCTGTGAAGAACACCTATTACCTATTGCTGTATGGCCAAAATTAAGAGAATGTATAATCTATGCCAATCCTGTCATAAGTAAATCATCTAGAATTCCTCCATTACTTGAACGTTTATTAATACAACAATTACATATTAATCTATATCGAAATCCAATTGATAATCCGAATTTATTTAAAATGAAGAATACCAGTTTATTGGAAAGAAATGAACTGACTAACTGTGTACAACATTTATCACTTAAACAAAATCAAAATTTTGGGAATAATGAAATCACTACCGTTAGTAGTGGTACTAGTACAAAGAACAGTTTATCTCATAAAAACATTTCAAAACATAGAAAGGTATTGAATAAAGATAAAGAGGGTATATCATATCATTCCAGTATAAAACCATTTGTTATTCGATATAAGTAAGTGTAATACTATAACATTTTTTTCTGATCAATTGTAAAAAAGTAATGACAATTCCTAAATCTTCTTTTCATGACCAATTTTTAACTTTTTAAATATCTTATTAATAATCAGAAAATATTTAGTAAGAGGTTATGTGGATTCTTGACTTGTATTGGAATCCTAAACTGATCTAAAAATAAAACCCATTGAAGATTGCGTTGGGTATGAGGAAGGTATCCATCGAGAGTAATAGAAAATGATCACACGATATCGTATATTGATTAACTTTACACGTATACACCAATGGATCTTTACTGAGCGTTCTAGAGGTTAAGTGTTGACTCGTAATATCAAATGTCCTGAGTCCGGTTCTCGATTCTGGGTCGTGGATGCTCACTTCTGACGATTCACGTACTAGGACGAAATGATCTCCCAGTGCTTTCAGATGTTTAAGAGTTGTCTAACTTAGTTCGGTCGGATGAAACTGAAAACTGTTGTTACAACTTATCTTAAATTTTCTCAGTTGCACGTAATTATACTGCTGAGCCAATCAGTATCGAGACTAACTTAAAGACTTTTATGCAGAACTTAAAACGTAAAGCAAAGTAACATAGACCGATATACGAGGGACAAGGCGAGGTGTACATTTTCAGGGTCGACCTTTTCTAACCCCACTCCTCCTTGTGGGAAGGCAGCATCGTTGTTATGCTAGTTGTCTGAAAGAAACACCTTACTGCTGTCACACCTCTGTACAGTCAGCAGTACGACTTCGCCTTCGGACTTTGGGTTTGCTGCTTTTAGTCTTACCGCTCTTCAACCGACCTGTCTGGCATGGTAGCACTTTGAGGAACGATTGTTCCAGCCAGTATGGCTCGATTGGTGCATAACGATAGACAAGCCCGACCACCACGTCAAGGTATCAGCAACGGTCGGGGAAGAAGACTATGGATGATGGCTTATTAAACTACTTCTAACGTTATAGAGGGTTTAAACATATGATGATCTTGATAATGAATAGGTTTCTGTAACAACCTTGAAAAACTAATTTTTAATTAAACCTTCATTTATATATAAGATCCATAACTCTTCTAGAGACAAATTATTCACCGTAATAGCCCTATTGTCCAATAAACTGATTAAATTTTCAAGATCGTTATAACGTCTCTCAACGACACGTGTATATTTTTACCGATACTCTAATGGGAACCAGGCTCCAAAAACTGTTTGCTTAATAAATTTATCTTGGATAATCGATATTTCTTTCTTCATTGTAAAAAGTATCGATTTTATTTTTGGAAGATATAGTCACAATCATCTGTAATTTTTTAAACGGAGAGGAAGTACGTTTTGATCTAAGTTCCACTCTCATTCACATTGATTAATATTATGGTCATAGAGTTTTCAGGAAAACTATTCCTCATAAGAATTAAAACATATCTTCAATTAGATACTCAAGCTAGGTATGAAAACTATAAAACTTTAGTTAATAAACCAGCATCAATCAGAAATAGGCAACGTACATGGCATAAATGTCTATCAGCTCAAGTTTCGACATAGAAAGATGGAATCACAGAGGAGTGAAAGTAATAACAGTATCATTGATAAGAGAAAACACTAAGCACAGAGAAAATATTTTTCGAGGAAAAAGGATGAATAAAAAAATATCAAATCTTAAAACTCAAGATCTAAGGGAAGACAAAGAGTAAATGTATCTTTACTATTGGAACGAATTCTGAGTTATTTCGCTCAATGTTCCCAACCATTAGTTATGATAACCTTGTTGATCCCAAGTAGATATATTCATTTATGTCAAATATGGAAAATTCTCAATATTTATAGATGTGTTATTTTCTTGCTTTTAGGTTAGACAAACCAAGTTTAGATTTAGGTCCAAAGATGATTAAATGCAATGTGAACCAAATATTAGATGAAATGAAAAAATTAAATCAAACAAACTTAGTTAATTCGTCACCATTATCATCACCACCAACTACAACGGTAACATCCATAGCATCAGTTACATTGTCAAACTTATCTAATTCACCAACCTTAAATGATTCGTTTAAAGATAATTCCTCAATGTACAATAATTCACGTAGAATTCCACATCCTGTACCTACTATTGAGAGATACAAAACTTTTATTAAAAATGATTCAGAAAAATTAGATCAAAACTTATCAGAATTTTTGTCAAATCTTCAATGTGACGAACAGATTGAAGAAGAAAATGAAGATATGAATAACTTTTTTACAACTCAAGTATGCTTTTGATGATTTTTGTATTAAAGTAATGATAATAATAATAATAAGTACTGAACAACTGAATTTGTTTAGTTAATAGTTCTGATCATGCGATTATTATCCAAATGTTCTTGGAATGTATTTTTATAAGACAGGATCTCAAGCTGACTGATTGAGTACACGAATATGTATTAGGGAACTATGGAAAAGATGAATTTGTGTTTGGCGGTGTAGTCAAGGACGGGAGTTTCGTTCCATCAAGAACCTGTCAGTTGGATGTAACTGAATCCCAGTTTCAATGTCTGTACATAGACTCGAAACCAATACCTTCCGCTTCATACACCCAAAGTGTTGTCCACTGAATTACTGAATCCAGACAGCCGCGAAATCGGGCAACGGATAGGATATTTATGTAATTACTAAAAACGGTTTGTATTATCTCATTGTTGATAGCCTTGACAACATTTTGATTACTGTTTGTTGGCATGTGTGAATCCTTTGCAAATTACCTCAATATATCTATTTTTCACAAGTTTTTATAGAATAGGTGTTATATTTAGAACTTGGATTTTTCCTATACCGCGTACAACTTGAGCACTTGAACACTAGGACCCTCCAAGAAGCAAGTTAGGAAACAGAATACGAACAGGAAAGAATCTTATTTCAAACAGCGTCAAATATGGTACAAAAACACTCAAGTATTTATAGTTTTTAATGAAGACGAAATCATCATTACAGTCATCCAATCCGCATGCAGTGTTTTTTAGCATTAGTACAATCGGGAAGCTACACGTCGAGATTCTTGAATATCCTTCTAAACGATGATTGGATGGAATGTTTTCGCCTCTTCCACAGCTTCTTAAAGCTTCCTTGAGTTCACCGGAAGCCGTCTCCATAATAAGTGAAATTAGTAACCAAGTGAATAACGTGTTGGGCTTTAGAAGCTTAAGGTACTGGATTCGAGCCTTAGTGTATACTCCAATCCTAATGTACAGGTGTATCCAGATTAAGACTCCCAAATAAAGCCAAATGTGTGTCCTCGATTCTACTGTTGGTCACATGTCAAAAATACTAAAGTCCACATCATAACTATATATCGAGGCAATTTACCCAGGATGTGAATATTTCAACAGAAGTTGGTTAGTTGCAGTCCTGAATATTAGTAACGCGAAATTACAGACCCATACTAATTTCGGCTTTAGTATTAAAATATGTCAATTTGGGATTGAATGCAACAAACCAACCATATAGCAGTAGTGCATAGATTCGCCAACCATTGGTCTAAGTTTCCGACTGAGAGCAGTGGACTCATTATTTTAAATTTCTAGGATGACAAAATGAGGTAGCCAAGGACTTTATCTGACATTTCTCGTGATCTATTCTTATTGTAAATGGAATTTATTCACTATTTAATTTCACACACTGAACACTTAGTTGTTCTTGGATATACCTTCATAAATAAGATTATTTTGTTACACCAGTTAGTCGCTCACTCAGTTATAGGTAGCTTAAGGCCTGGATCAAATTAGCTTCAACCGAGGTCTCAACGTATCAACGTCACGAAATTGATATACTTTTAACACGAAGTTCCAAACTTCACTCCATATAGTCAGGTTAGTTACTGTTGCAAATATATCCTAAGGTTAGACTTTCCATTTAACGGTAGAGTGGCACTCTTGGAATTCATAGGATTTTTACATTTTACTGGTGTTTTTAGTGAATATAAGCGAAATTTAGCTAAGGCAATGATGTAATTAATCGATTTTTGAAGAATGTCAAAGTCTTACTAGTAACGATTATCGCGAGCGCTTAATTGTTAAATCAATTTTTCGCATAACTTTTGCCCTTTTCTGATTGATCATCATTACGTTCATTACCATATATATCGAATTTTACTATTTCAATTTTCTCTTATTGAATATCATGTTTTTCCTACCATTTGTCTTCTTCTTGTGTTAGTAACTACTTGCTGAAGTATTGTGGCCTAGTTATCGTTCACAATAGAACGGTCCTTATTAGAATAGCATATTTACTGCTTGATTCGCAGCTATCATAGGCCAACCGTGTTACGAAATATCTAATCAGTTTTAGAAAGATTTAACACACTAACAAATCTAATATCTTAAAATATTTAATAATATAATTTCTCATTTTTAATTTGAATGCTTAATTTCTTTTGATTTACCAACGAAACTATGATAAAACATAAGTGTACATGTGCTTCATTTGATAGTTTGTTAATTAAATATTGCTAATTAAATATTTTTATATATAGTTGAAATCATGAATCAATTGAAGCTAGACCACCGTGAAAATCCTGGAAGCACCTGATGGCCGTTTCATCCTATTGTGAGACTCCTCAGCAAGGCGCATCCACGATCCCGCCTCACGAGATTCGAACTCAGGACCTACCAGTCTCGCGCCGGAGCACTTGACCTATCGACCACTGAGCCGACATCCATCAAATATTTAACAATAAAAATCTGAAATAATTAAGCAAACAACTTATTTTCCAAAGATTTGATATCCTTAAATAATAAGCTCTCATATTTGATCTAGTTTATTTAGTCCTATTAAATTAATGTTGAATAGTTGATGGCAGCGTTTACTTTAAAACACATTTATAAAACATATTCCGATCTGTGTAAAGATTGAAACAGTTACAAATTCAGTCTCATATTATTTAAAAAAACTATTATGATTAATTCTATTGTGATGTGGGTTACTTATATCCACATAAGTAGTATATAACGATGGTCAGGCATTGAATGTATTTCAATAGAAGATGGATAATGAAAGATCGTAAACGAAATGTAGTTGGTATGAAAATGCATGTACAATGATAATCAAAAACTATGGACTGATATTTGCAGAAGGAACGGTCAAGATTGAGACAATTGATTAATAGTTTGCAAATTAACTGTTCATTGTATAGTTGTCAAATTTTAGTAAGATAGTCTGTATTTCTGTGCTCAATGACATTCGATTGTCCCCATTCCGTGTTCTTGTTCTAAACACTATATACTTTTTTGGATTTGAAAATGACTTTTCGTTATTGATTTACAATATCTCACTGATTGTTATTTTGAACTATCACTGATATCATTTCACTTATAATAACTAATTAATTAAACAAAAACAATTAAATTATCTTCATTCTTATTACGACTTCAAATAAGCTTATTAATTGTATAGTCACTTCCTTATTTACGCATATTCGGAACAAGTTAGATGATTTCGCATTGTTATGATTTACACGGTGTTAGAACTGTACATTATAATCTTTGGATTAAATACATCATGCTTATTCAGTGATCGCATTTCATCTTAGAACTAACGTATTAAATTTCAACTTAAAAAGTTTGAAATATGGAGTGATTTATATAAATCATATCACAAATCATGAATCAAAACCTTATGCATAAAGTCAGTATATTTGAACAATATTCGGTAAAGTTATGTTACACTGATGTCCTTTAGCGACTTATCAACCGATCAGGTAATACTACTTGATTATAAAACAAGTAATAATAAAAAGCAATTAAACTACGATGGACTAGTGGTTTTGATATTATAAATGATCACTTGCATGTAAAATTATTTATTATGATAAGGGATAAAACGTTTAAATCTATATATTATAAGTTGGGCCAGCGTTTTAAATTATGGTTATAATGTCTTAGGGTTTTCATCGCCGATTAACATCAGTTATAATACATAAAGGATTGAGTTATGTAATAGGAGTTAATTTAGATTTATTTGTTGGGATAATGAATTAGGATTAGGGTTTTAGTCATGAACTGACATCAGCTACAATCTAGTGATACTTTGAAACCCTTTTGTTTATTTAGTGTTGATATTCAAAGTCATAAGTTGGAATGGAAGAATAATATCTAGTTACACAAAAACCCTTGAGTATTGATTGAATCACACCAAGTACTTTAACATATGGCTTGGTTACATGGTAAATATTTTTTTATTAATTACAAGTATTTTAAGAATCAAATATCAACTAATTTTCAATTAGTTAATATTATCATATAAGCTATCATTCACTGTACTTTCTATTTCGTGCATAAATCCACACGTCACTACCTTAATTCTTCTTGGTTCACTCAATACCATCAGTATAGTATACTTTTACCTTACACTTCAATTATTTCTCACTAGAAACTTCTCTCATGGGTTACTTATTATTCGTGTACGAGGTAGATTTCATACATTATTAACGATGAAAGTAAACTTCAGAGTTTGTATACTTCCATTTCCGACTCATTTTAAACTAGAAAATATTGAACCGTTGTAGATTGTCTAATATTAATTTTCTTTTCTAAATTTAGTTATCATCAATAAACGTAACAGATCCAACAAAACATCATACTTCAAAATTGAATCATTCAAATCATTCTGATTATATTCCCTTTCATCAACAAAATAATAATGAAAATGATAATAATCAATCCAATGAACAGTATGAGGATAAAACACCAACTAAATGTTTAACAACTTCAGGACCATTATTATCTAATTTAGAATGGATTATTGATGAAAAAAATCTTCCAAATAGTAAGATTATTGTTATTATTATTCCTGTAAAAATTTTTACAATACTATCAAATATAATTCAGTTAAACAATTAGTCATAGGCAATGTACAAACCGGTACATGCGTGTAACAGTTCAAATGACCATATTATATCAGCACATTGAAATGAAATTATTAACACAACTGTGAAGACAATAGAAGTAGTAATAGTATCAGTGATAATGAAATCATAGAAAATATGATTCGAAAATACAGGATAAATTTGTGGAATGAAAAGTACAAGATAAACGACTCAGTCCAATAGTCACTCCGTGAACTGATGCCACATTTTAGTTTGTCCTTTCATAGATTTCTTCTGTACTACTACCCCTACACTAATGAACATTAATTGTCAAAGTATACGATAGTTTCCTATTTGTAATAATAATGATAAATGGATATCCTTTATTTTTTAAAGGTCACATTAAATAACCATATAATGAGTGATTGGATTTAAAAAGTTGGATAGAAGGTGAATTATCATAGACCCTGGCACCCTTTTATCCCAACGATAAGGTTTCACGGTGATAATATAATTTATGGATGAACTAATCAGAAATTTATTCATTCGGCTAAATAGAGTCTTGTCATTATAGCTTATGTCAGTTCGTGATGAAAACCCAAAATCTAATTCTTAACCCTAACCATCAACTATAAATCATAGTCCTAATTCCTCACACCGGTTTATAACTCTCATTTAATACTAGTAAGTAAGTGGACATTCTCAAGGTCACTTTAGCGCCTCTCAAACGTCGTCCATATATTATAGTCTCACCATCATTGTTATTTCAGCTATTTTCCTGTTCATCACATAAATTTCATTTCGTCGCGATTATGCGACATGATAATTTGGACTGACAAACAATTGTCCCCGAATCTGTATTGAATATGATTGACTAAATTATTTGCTTTATTTCTTCGTTAAGTCGTCCATAAATTATAGTCTCATCGGTTTTACAAATGCATAAGAAAACAGAAAGACTTGTTAAAGACTTAACGAAGAAATAAAGCAAATAATTTAGTCAATCATATTCAACATAGATTCGAGGACAATTGTATATCAGTCCAAATTATCATGTCGCATAATCACGACGAAACGAAATTAATGTGATGAACAGGAAATAACAATAATAACATTAAAGCATATGACATTGAGGTAACCTAAACATTGGCGAATACAGATAACGGAATAGTTTGCCAAAATGGGGTAGGTAATTTTAGAAAACCATAGAGGAGAAAACAGTAGAAACAAACCAAGTTTATGATATTACAGTCACACATCATGAGTATGACCTATGATGCAATAAATAAAATAATGGTGAAGATTCTTAACTCAAGTGGATGCATTCGGTTGTATTATTTTCTCCAAGCTGGTTGATTTGACCGACAAAATTTCACTGTTATTCAGGACAACATTATTAGCAATTACTTGGCATCAGAAATAAACTGTTTAGTTAAATCAACCTCTTTTGACGAATCTATCAGTGTACAATTTTTGTGTGTGAAGATTTTGTCGATTTTATTTGTCACTGTATTCCTGTTCAATATTTTGTTCTGTTGATGTAGGTTTTCAGTAGTTTGAACAGTAATAAATTGGTATTTTATAGTAACCCTAATGTTTTCTACTGTTAGAATAGAACTTTTTTACCTTTATTTTCATAAGGTATGCAAGCATGTTTAAGAGAGTTACGATATCTTTTACAACATAAACCTACAATTCATCCATATATTCATCAAAATATCGTCCGTTCACCATTAACACTGCCTGGAGATAATCATCAGCCTATAGAGTATCCAATAGCATCGACATCTTCGTCATCCAAGTTGATAGAAGATGTAGTCAATTCTAAAGTTCAAGTTTCTTCAGAAAAATCATGTAATCAAGTATCACCTAAGAATAAAATATCTTCAAGAAATACTTCATTATCATCGATGAAATTGGTTCCTGTTTGCAATGATTTAGAAATTCTTCCATCAAAACTTAATTTAAATCAATTTATGGGTTTCACTGAAATACCATTAACAAAAGTAAGTATAAGTTTAATTATTTTTGTATTAACATATTCACTTGGTGAGATAATTACAATTTCAATATTAATATTGACCTTTCTACCTCATATGTTAATTTGTAATTTCATTTAATTTGACCTTACCACTTGATATAGTGAAGAACGATTAAAGCATAGACCCCAATTCACTAATACATTGAAAACATACCATATCATTGAAAGGTTCACAATATTCTTCTTTATAAAGAATCATATGACTTTAATTTATCTATCTAGGTAGATTGTATTAAAAGCATGAATTTCTAAGCATCAAAATAAGTAGATAACTTGTTTAAGCTAGTCAAATTTCAATAGTTAAACTTATTTACTATATAAGTTATCATAAAAATAAGTTACTTAATCTATGCTATGCATTGGTCAAATATAAGCAATATAGAATCTGTCATATATTCATATGCATAAGTTTGATTTGCTACACTATATAAGTACATTAAAATTTAAATAATCAACACAACTATGAGAATAGTAAAAATAGTGACAGTATTATTGATAGTAGAAAAGATTAAACACAAATATTGTGATTTTATAGTTGAAATCATGAGTCAATTGAAGCTAGACCACAGTGGAAAACCTGGAAGCACTTGACGGCCGTTTCATCCTATTGTGGGACTCCTCAGCGGTGCTCATCCACGATCCCGCCTCACGAGATTCGAACCCAGGACCTACCAGTCTCGCGCCGGAGCACTTAACCACTAGACCACTGAGCTGGCCTCCAACGGTGTTAATGTCTAACTTCAACCAATCCACGAAATGGAGCAACCGTCCACCATTGTCTTCAGTGAGTTGATAATAATCATATGCTCACTAGTGACTGGCTTCAAAAGATATTTTTTGGAATTCTAGAGAGAAGCAGTGACCGGTAGGGTTCAACAAGGTCTATTGTGAGATATCGACTCACTGAAGAAAATGGTGAATGGTTGCTCCATTTCGTGGATTGGTTAAAGTTAGACATTAGCACCGTTGGATGCCAGCTCAGTGGTCTAGTGGTTAAGTGCTCGCATGTGAGACTGATAGGTCCTGGGTTCGAATCTCGCGAGCGTGAGATCGTGGATGCGCACTACTGAGGAGTCCCGTGATAGGATGAAACGGCCGTTAAGTGCTTCCAGGTTTTCCACTGTGGTCTAGCTTCAATTGACTCATGATTTCAACTATGAAAAAATTTCATTTTAATTCAATTATTTTTGTGTTTTATTTTTGTTTTAACAAACAGGCTTTGAAAGATGAAGAAATTCAAAAGAGACAATTGGAGAAAATAAAAGCTAAACAAAATCCTCTTGTTAGAAATTTGAAATTAGTAAAGAATAGTAATCAACCAAAACGTGCAAAATCAAAAGGACCCAAAGAATTATTTGAACAAGTTAGTTATTACTATTCTTAGTAGTATTGTCCGTTGTTAAAGTATATATATTGCCAAATGCAATGTTCCTATTTTGTCAATTATGAAGCAATTTATTTTCGGAGGATACGAAATTCTTTTGGTGATAGAAAGGGTTATATAATTGTCTCTACCACTTAAAACCTCTTAAGAATAGACAATACTGATTTATCGTAATTTCACACTTTTATGACACATGTTTGCATTTCTTTAATCCAAGTTTTTCTTGAGCAGTTAGTTTCTGCTAACCAGGTATAGAATGGATAGTTCTACGCCTATAATTAGTTAGTCAGTTAGTTAGAAACTAGGATTATAAGATATCCGAAACCAGTTTTAGTTCAATTTAGATATTCTCCCGGACCAATTGGGAAAGGGGGAGTGTAGTGAACAGAACACTGGTTGGGGACAATCGAATGTACTTAAGCAAAAATTACAGACTATCTCAGTAAATTCTGATAACCAAACAATGAACAGTCAATTTGCAAATTAACAACCAATTGTTTCAATGTTCTCTGTTTCTTCTCTAATTTCATTGCTCATGCATTTTTCAAACGATTGCGCTTCATTTCAGCTCTTTGCTCATCGGTCTTCTGCGAAAATACATTCTATGTCTGACCCACACCATATACTACTTATATGGATATAAGTAGACTACACCACAGGAGCAACTCCAAAGTCATGATATACATATTAATCTATAGTGTGAATTAGTGAACCAGATAAAACCAGGGTTTCGTCCACGAATTGTGTAATAAGAGAATTTAACGAAGAAAACATCATTAGACACTTGTAGTTTGTTGGATTGGTGAAGAAAACACACACACGAATATGGGCTTGAATTAATGGTCCATGAATTAAGATTAGAATTAGAAAGCTACCTGAAAAAACAACATCTAGAGAATGTGAACTCGATTAAAATACTGTATTTACTGACAAGTTTAAAGATCCTGAATTCAGTCTGTACTGAGGTTGTGAGCGTCTGTTACTATGGAATCCAATACTGGTACAAACCAGCTGTTCAACGATTTCAGATTTTTAGTTGGTTATCGAATCAAAAATCAATCCGTGATATGGAACTACAGTCGATAGTAACTTCATAAATGTTTAAATTTTTTTCATTAGTTGGTTTCCTTTCTTGTAATTAATAACAGAATGACTTCAGCAGTTTGTGTTGCATCCACTTTCATCACTGTTTCCTGATTTCTTTTTCATCTGGTAGCTGGTTTGTAGTCTGTTGTTGATGGTATCCAGTCAAAGGATATGGAGTATCTTGCTTATAAAGTATCTTGTTTATGAACACTTGTATCTTTTTGATGATGGTTGTAGCATTTCTTGAAGTTTCAGCTCCATACAGTAGAAATATCTTGATATTCATATTGAAGATTCTTACTTTGATATTGGTTGACAGTTATTTTGAGTTACATATGTTTTTCAGTTGTGGGAATGTTGCCCTTGATTTGCCAATCCTTGCCTTTACGTCTGTGTTGGATCCTCCTTGTCTATCGATAATGCTTCCCATGTATGTGAAAATTTCGACCTCTTCCAGAGCTTCTCCATCAAGTTTGATTAGGTCGGTGTTCTCCATGTTGTCTCTTGATATTTCCTTTATGTATGTTGAGGCCTACATACTTATAATATAATCATAGTTTAATAACAAAAATGAACCAGTAGTTTACAATCCAATTTTATAATTTAAACGGTAAAATGTTGGAAATAAGTAAACTGAAAGTGTTTGATTTCTATACAATTAATAATGAAGATCATCTTCCCCATAACTTTAATTATCACCTCTATTAGCTTGATTAGCTCCACAGATTGGTTTGTTTTGAAATTTTCTTATATTCATCTTTTTATTTTGTTTAAATATATTATAGATTCAAGTAATCTATTCAAATGTACGTGAACAAGCAATTACCAAAGCATTGGATACAATAAATCAGGATTTTGATAAGAAAACTGAACAAATTTGTCAAAATATTTAAATGTTTTTATATCACATTAAACATATTTTTAATTATATATATTATAATGATTATGCTTTACGAAACGTTGGAATTATTTAAATTTCAATCGCTGAGACTATTTCAAATATAATTTTTTCACATATAATGAATTCTCTATACTCGGCGCCCAATTATTGTCAAACTATTCGTTCTAATCTTGACGAATATTCGTATAGATTATGCTTTACGTTTATTTTAATTAAAGATTTTATTTCAATTGTATAGAACTATCATATTTCTAATTTGTTGCTTGTGTCCACAAGATATTTTAAAAGAAGGTAAGATAAGTAATTGTATAATGAACGAAGACTAAGATGGGGACAACTAATCTTATTGTTCCATACAAAATTATACAATACCTTCGTAAAATATGAGAACCATATATTAAATGCTTTATTTGTAAATCTTTCATCAACTATCCTTTACATTTTGTGTGGTCTTTTCAATTCACAATTCCTTTCTATTTCTATTTCCTTTTATTCGATCTTCTTAACCTTCCTGCAACAAACCGCCCCAACTGGCGCTTCCCCATCATCCTCAGAACTGCACTCTCTTCACCTACTGATTGACAACGACACCATAAGTAGTGAACGAAGACTCGAGGAATAGAAAGAAATTGTGAATTGGAAGAATCATACAAAATGTAAGGGACAATTGATGGAAGACTTGCAAATGAAGCATTAAGTGTATGGTTCTCATATTTTACAAAGATATTCCGTAATTTTGTATGAAGTAGAGAAATTGGATTTTCCCACCTGAATCTAGCTCATTACACTTGGAAATAAATATATCCGTATAATTGGTTATATAATTATTTTGTTTGGGATGTTTTTTGGAGTTTGCTCAATTCAATGATAGTCAGTATCTTATACATTCTACCCTAATAATAATCACTGATTTTCACAAATGACTAGGTTTAAGAAGAGGTTTCTCTGTTTTTTAGTGATTTAATTTGGTGGATAAAATTTAATCGAGTTGGGAATGAAATAGATATTAATCATATCACTGGATAATGTCAGTGCGATATTGGGAATTGAATAAGTTTAGAAATGTGGATTATTTAGATTTCAACTTATCAGTATGAAGCCATTATGTTCATCAGAAGACCTAAACGTCTTGTACTCGATTCCTAGCGTATGCTTGGTTGTAGATTCTTGACCATTATAGAAATAAGACGAAAGGCATAGTTAATTCTTCATAGTTATCAATCACAGTCTAACTGAAATCAGACTGTGGTGTTAACTATCTGCAAATGTGTGGGTTGTATTTATAACAGACTGACTTCAGATGGAGTGCCATTGAAAACCAGGGAATATTCTACAGCTGATTTGTCCTAAGACGGGAATCTTCAAGAGTCCATACTCATGACTCCACTAAAGGTTGAACCTATAACCTTCATATCTTGTGGAGTGCACTTAAATACTAGAATCATTGGGTCTTCATCCATTAGTATATTCGGATTGTGCAATCTCTTGTACTTTATACTTGTTTAATCACTATTCATTAGGATCGAATAACTTCGGAGACCCTTTTCCCCACTTATTGAGTAAACCATTGCTAATTTAATTACATATATGGGCTGTATAATTGCATCGACTCTATTCAGTATGTCACTGAAAAGCTTGCTTCATCATCTGTTCATGAATCACAATACATCCTTTAACTGTAATAACATCTATAAGTGTTGCACTGTGTGACCCAGATCCAAACTTCTCCATATTGAGACTGTTACAAATATATTTAGGAATTGTGAATTTTATTTCTTTTTCATTAGTTGTTATTATTCATATTTTCTAAGCAGATCTATTCTCAACCATTTCTATATATAGAAAGTTACATAATATCATTCTTATTTATTCCTTCGTAAGATATATTTTTCATCCAATTATGAGTATTGACAAAACAATTCATAAATTGATATTTTAAATTTTTCTTATTTCCACTAAAATTCTTATATGAGAGTTATGTGATTTAAGACAGACTTGGGACATTAGTATAATTCTTAAACGTTCATGTGTTTTCTTTTCGAATTATACCTGACTTTAAGGTTGTCGGCGAGTTAAACTCGTTAATGAACTGATTTAGCCATTTTTTGACGGACTTTGCATTCAATACGAAATATTGATCATCATTGCAACAGTTCACAAAATACTCATAATCAGTAATTGGTCTAGTAACACCAAGCAATCTACAGCGCTTATCTCACTTTTAGATTGCCTGCTACTTTGTAAATGAAAGTTCAGTTCTTCATCTGTGAAAACCAATAAATTAGGTCACTTAGAAATGCTAAAATCAATTTTTGTTTTGGTAAAACCGTGCAATAGTTTCCTTAAAAAAAATTGTAATAAACCCTCCGAAAAATGCTTGATTATTTTATGTTACTTATAAATTATTAAATAGTACAATTATATTTACTAAACTTTGAGTATTGTCAATGTGATTGATGGTTAAGTGTCGAAAGTCATTTATAGGTACTAAGCAAACACAATATGATTTGTTCATTACATTAGTGTCTCCTATTTTCATACAATTCTGTAGAAACGCTGAACATCAGAAAATCCAGAATGATGATAATTCAAGGCCGAACTCCAAAATTTTAGAATGTCATTTGTTAAAACTATTATTTAGAACAAGCGAATTATGATATTTTAAATTAAATCTTTGTCAAACCTTATTCCATCAAACAGTAGTATTTATAAGCACAGATGAAAACAATAGACCAAACAAGGCGATTCATGGGTGAGTGATGGTAATGAAAAAAGATTACATAACCACTCATGATAAATAATAAGTAGAGATTCATTGAAAATGACGGGTGTACGAGTAGTGATATGAATAATAAAAAGGTAGAATTGATACCTCAAAATAGGAGATAGTTCAAAACTTGGAAGAATGAACATGAAAACAACAATCATGAAATTCTATTAGAAGTACCTAATAAGAAGTGTGCAAATTATTAATACATATATTAGAAAGGAGACATCAAAGAGTTAAGAAACATAGACAAACAAGTAAACGATGTGAAAATAGTAGTGAAATCGACTATCAAGTCTTATTGGAACAAGAAAGGGTTAGGAGTATTATACGTCACTTTTGAACGCATAAAGTAGTGTTGTAGGCTGAACTTCCATGCAATCATCTTTATGTAGGAGATGGGATCTAACCATGTTGGGAAGCTGAAAAGATTTGTACTGAATCACTGCAGATCAAGCATGGCAAAAAACCAAGGTATATGTGAACCATATTTGACACTTTCTTAACCACCCAAGTTGTTCACTTATTGGTTGGTCAAATCTCCTTGTGATACACCCGATCTAACTTTCTCTACAGAGAAACTGAGCCAACACTGTTAGTTCAAATTTCGTCTTTTTATTCATCCTAAAACAGATGTTGATTTACCTTTACGTACACATGAATATTAAAGGTGGTTTACACAACAAAGGTATATTGTATGTGCTTATTGATATCTCCAACATATCACATTGATGTAATGTGACATGTTAGTCGTTATTAAAGAAATAGGAATGAACCGATATTGTTTTTGCTTCTAAAACAATTAAGTTATATGCATTGACATCAGCTGAAAGGCGGTGAAAAACTCAATAATTGTTATGTCCTGAAATGATATTACATACAACTGTATAATATCTCACCATATATTTGATCTCACGATCATTTTATTACTATTGAGTTACAGAGTTTCAAGTTTAATTTCATTCATTTCATAGGATTACTGTTGCCTAATGAGAATGATTGAAATTAATCGTCGATTTTGACCGAAATGAGTTATTAGAACATTGGTTGGTTATCTTGTAGTAACCTACTTTGGTATAATGGAAACAATAATTATTATAACCAATTGTACCAGTGATTGTTTTACTGTACGTGAATGTTTAACTGTACCAAAGACACTTTTCCTTCCGTTGCCTCTGACCTTGCACGAACTTGCTTAAGCTCGGCAGTTCAACCAGTAAACTTTGGCACATATCGGTATTCTTTCGATACCGCGAGATCACCAACAAATATATCCTATTGTAATTAACAACAACCTTCTGGTTTTGGGCCTACCGAGGGATCCAACTCGATATCTGATACGTAATCTTCCTGTAGTGGTGATCATAGTCAATCGCGACTCGACGCTATCTACAATTTCACTGTGTCGCAAATTAACTAAGACTTTAATACGAAACATTGAATTCCTACTGATAAACTAAATGATCAGTTGCTTAATATGATCTTATATAAGTTCAAATTTGTGTATAGTTGAAAATAGTGAGATTGTCAACTTCACTGCATATATTATCATATTAAGATTATAAAAGGTTCTACATGATATCCAAAATTTTAGGAGATGAATACTTATAATTACTGACTTTTGTAGTGTATAAAAGGTGAAAGTTGATGGATTATTCTAATAAATGATTTATGTTATGACTTTCTGTTTATGTTCACTAAAATAAAGTCTATAAATGACAAACAGCCTATCAAAACTGAGGCACTTAAACTAACTCATTGTCATGTGTGGACAATTTTCCAGTAATCTGAAAAGATATTCCTTTCATTACAAGTTGTCTTATTATAGAATCATCCAAAAAACGAATTGATGGTTAGAACGAGCAAGAAACTAAACAAATTCGATATATTAACAGGAAACAGAGAACATTGTTCATCTTCGTTTTGTATCTTACTGAAAGTTTCTACTATTCTTACTAAGCCAACTGATTCACTTGTAAAGGAAAGTTCTTCCGTATGTTATCTCCATAAAATATTCTTTAACAATTCATTGATTTGTAGGTAATAATCATTACAAATTAATCTCATTTAGACTACCAAAAATACTAAGGATCACTAGGCAACTGTTTCATCGTAGTAGGTAATTTATCCGCAAACTCCTATCAAACTGTAATAGTTATCTCAATAATGAATTGCACTACAATGTTTCTTAAGTTCTAGTTAAAAATCGTTACTGGTAAAGTCGACTTATGTCGTAGGTAAAACAGTTATCCCTACTGTTATTGGGTAATCATTGCACTATATCTGAAATTTATCGAATTCGAAATTGTATAACCGGACATTGACTTAGCTGTTCTAATGGTTAAGCG